CGATTAAAGTGCTTGATTCACCCATTTGATTGGGGATAGAAAACTGATGACCTCAAGTGCTGAATTCTTCGTTGTGAAAGAAAAGCCTCGAAATGTTGCGACTGAAACTGTGGACCATTGTCCGTAACTATGGCATCAGGGAAACCTTCCCGGCTGAAGATTGAAGACAGAAACTCAATGATGACCTCAGAAGTAACCGTATGTGTGAAACAAAGCTCTGGCCATTTGTAATGGTAGTCGATGAGAGAAACAATGAACCGGGCATTTTGCGGAACATTATGCAAAGGACCGATGATGTCCATGCCGAGTTTCTGCCAAGGCCGATCAGGCCACTGGACTGGCTGCAACGGAGAAAATGCAGGTTTGGCAGACTTGTGAGCTGCCTGACATATATGGCAGTTGTAAACTGCATGCTTGACCTGCTTGTCTAAGGCTGGCCACCAGTACCTGTCTCGGAGATTGTTTGGTGCGGACAATGCCTGGATGGGCCTCATGGGCAAGCTGTATTAGCTTGTTACGGAAAGAAGCAGGGGGAATCACGCGTTCATCGTGGAAAAGCAAGTCCTCGACACAAGACAGTTCCTGTCGGACTGCGAAGTAAGGGAAGAATTCAGAAGCACGAGCACATTTGGAAGACCATCCTTCACCTAAATATTTGAGAACTTGAGACAAAGTGGAATCTGCAGCTGTAGCTGCCTGAAGCTCAGCTTTAGTAATGCAGGAAGTAACTAATGAAACAACTTCCTCATCCCGCTCTTCAGTAACCGGTATCTGAAGAGGAAGGCGCGACAGTGCATCAGCAACCACGTTATTAGAACCTTTACAATATTGAACACTGAAATTATAATACGTGAGTTTGGCACATCAACGGGAAATGCGAATGGGGCGGCGGCCTTCGGATCCTGCAGAAAGAAGAGCAACTAGTGCTTGGTGATCTGTACGCAATGTGAAGTGCCGGCCCCACAAGTAAACATGCCATTTCTCACAGGCAAAAAGACACGCGAGAGTTTCACGCTCTCCTACTGAATATCTGCGTTCAGCAGGGGTCAATGTACAAGATGCAAAAGCGATAGTGATCAGCTGATCACCTCTGAGTTGTTGAAACACTGCTCCCAGTCCAACAACGGACGCATCCGTCGTGATGACGATAGGAAGCTTCTCATTGAAAATATTAACAGCTGGCTTTGAAGCCAGTATTGACTTGAATCGAATGAAGCTCTGCTCAGCTTCAGCTGACCAGTTAAAAGGCTGTGTTTGTCGAAGTAGAGTACGCAGTAGTTCAACAACATCAACATAGTGAGGAAAAAACTTGGCATAATAACCAACAAGACCTAAAAAAGATTGCAAGGTTTTGGCATCAGTAGGCCGTGGGGCATTGACAATGGCCTGAACTTTAGATTAAACAGGTGTCAAGCCGCGGGAACTGACATTATGTCCTAGAAATTGTAACTCATTTACAGAAAAACTGCACTTGTTATTAAGTTTCATACCACATTCACTGATGCGGTTGAGAACAGTATGCAAGTTAGCGTCATGCTCTTCACGAGTACGTCCCCACACCAAAATGTCATCCAAGTAGCAAAGGGCGCCATTACAACCTTTAAGAGTAATTGACATCATTTTCTGAAACACTGCAGGGGCAGATGCAAGCCCGAAACACACGCGGCGAAACTGAAACAAGCCTTCGTGCGATACAAATGTGGTTAAGTCTCTACTGCACTCAGAAAGTTCAGCTTGGTGATAAGCGGACGCGAGGTCCAACTTGGAGAAACATACCGCTCCGGAGAGCTGATGAAGCAGTTCTTCAATGTTAGGAAGTGGAAAACCGTCTACGACGATCGCCTTGTTCGGTTCTCGTAAGTCGACGCATAGTCGAAGGGATCCATCTTTTTTCTTGACGATGATCAGTGGAGAAATCCAGTCGGAAGCAGAGACAGGCTCGATGATTCCGCTGGCTTGAAGGCGAGACAGTTCCGCAGAGACTTGCTCACGGAGAAGAGGAATGCGGCGCAGCTTGGCACGCACAGGGCATACACCTGGTCGACGCATCACTTTATGCACAAAACCGCGCACACCACCCAGTTCACGGGTGAACAGGTGGTGGAATTCAGAAGGCGCGTTGGCCGGAAGATCATCTTGGACGTCGACTTGAGCACACGTCATAGACGCACCGACGATGTTGATGGACAAAGCCCTGATGGCATCACGTCCCAAAAGCGAGCCGCCATTGGCAGTTACATAAAAAGTAATGGAAGCAGTGCGACTGCGATAGGAGACCTGAGCTGTAAAATGACCTAAATTATCAATCGTTTCCTTGGAATATGTTTGTAGAACGACGTGTGAAGGCAAAAGCCGAATGTTGGAAAAATTACTATGAAAGTCAGCGGTGAATAAAGAGACTGAGGCACTAGTGTCCACGAGAAATGACAAGGGCACACGGCCCACTGAAGCTACGATGCTGGGCTCGGACGTAGTGTGGAGGCCATCCGCATTTAAAACAGTGACCGTATTGGTCTGTTCAGTGCTCGATGGAGCGGACGAAGAAACTGGTTCAGGAAGATTTGCTGGACGAGAATTGCATACGGACTGAAAATGTACGATTTTTCCGCACACAAGACAAGTGCGGTTTCTCGCGGAACACTGCGCAAAATTGGCTAAATGCCGAGCTGATCCGCAACGAAAGCAATGCGTGGTTGCGCTTGGAGAGGAAAACTGCGAACGCGAGTTAGGAGCTCGGTGCTGTTCCTGAAAACCAGAATTTGGCGGAATGGGGTCGCCATATTGCCAGCTTCCTCGCCCCCGCGACGCACAGAGGCCGCCATGTTGGCCACCACGGAAGGACTGTGCAGGCGGGCGTCCATGTTGGCCGCCGCGCCGAGACGAAGGTGAAGGGCCGCCATGTTGGCGCGTCCCATGAAACAAAGAGCCGCCGTCTTGGTCCCCCGCAGCAGAAAGTTGCTGCATTGAATGCGGAGCGAAATGCTCTAACTGGGAGCCAATAAGCTCGTCCTCTCGCGCAATCGAGAGGGCTTCGGATAATGAAATCGAGGAGCCTTTTTCAAGCATGCGGCAGCGGACGTTTTGCGAGGCTACCCCGGTGAAAAGCTGATGGTGGATCATATCGTCCTCGAGCGCGCCGAAGCCGCACGACGCGGCGAGCCTTCGAAGAGAAGTAATGAACTCGGCGACTGGCTCGCCAGGCAATTGTCGCCTGCCTTGCTTGAAATTTTATGCGTGCGAGATAATCACACGAGACATCTTTAAAATGCTCATCGAAAAGAGCAACAGCACTCTTGAAGGCATCGCCCGACGCTGGCGCCGGCGATGCGTTGGTGGCGTCCAAAGTATAGAAGAGCTTTAACCCGGCAGGGCCCAACGCGTTGAGCAGCAGGCCCTTGCGACGCTCGGGCCTGCCGGCGTCCTCCCCGGCCACGTCTGCGTAGGCCTGAAACACTAATTTCCAGTCAGCCCACGGAAGTGGCGGGTTTCCTGGCGAAGGAAGAAATAGGGGAGGTGGAATAGGAGACGCCATTTCAAGCAAGAAGAATGGAGAGGCGCAGACGAGAAGAAAATCACGCCAGTACACTGCTTGAAGAAGAAGACAGAAGTGGCGTAGCTGAATGAAAAAGAAATGAAGCGACGCAGCACGCAGCAGCCATCTTGCTGGGAACAAAGAGCGTCTAGGGTTAGCAGGGTAGGTTCGTTAGAAGCAAGAAAAAGACGAACACGGAGAACAAAATGGGTTCTTACACGTCCTCGTCGCCATTGCTGTGTTGGGGGCTGGCTGGTCCCGACGAAGCAGAAGAAGAAGACGGCCGACGGACACGAACGCGGCCGGCGGGGACGCGGACCAGCCCGAACACGCGGGTTGGCGCGAAGCGCCGAAGAGAATAACAACAACCGCACTCCACGGTTACCCAACGCACCTCTTTATTTTACAGTTGCCTTGAAATCCTGGATGCCAAAGCGGCGCCCCCTGGCATCCTCACATGTCATTCCGAAACAGAAACCGACAACCCAGAACACAACATCACCACCTAACTAAATAGCTCACTTTAACCTAACACATCGCAGGCGGCTACCATTTCGCATTGTTTACCTTTCGCAGCCGCAGCGCCCACGGCGCCCTCTGTATTTAAAATACTTGTAGTATGTATTTAAATAACAAACCTAGGCTAATTGACTCGTTAAACAGCTGCTTAGTAAAATTTTTGTTGGTTGAAGGTTGAACGCATTACACACAAATAATTTACACATTTAACTAGCTTTAGGTAATAATTTTGGCAGAGACTGCTGCGCCGCGCGGCGCAGAAGCCATCCCCACACAAAGCAACTCCTGCGCCGCACGGAAGTGACGTCACAAAATACGTCACGACATACGTCGTTTCCGATTTAGCGCGTTGTTCGAATTTACCGAATCGGAACGTGACTCAGCTGTCCAGCAGACGCTCACTTGCTGCTGCTGCTGCTGGAGTACGGCTGGTTGCTGCTTCTGCGAGCTGTCTAGAGGCCTTGTTCTGCTACATATTCGCAAGCCTCGAACATCATCTTCATCTAAGCTCAACCGCTCATTTTCACTGCTATTTTATATTTACTAACGTTGTTTATATCCATCCCAATACGTATTTGTGTGATTTTTCGCGTATAGGCTGATTTAGCAGTATCTGTACGCGGCCCTTTCTTTAGTCATCCATGTTAACGTGCTTCGTATCTGTGTCGTAGTGCATTTGCGTAATTGACAGCCGTGTTTTAGATTAAATATTCACTTTCTTGTTTCTTTTTTTCTCATGGTGTAATTCTGAATTGAAAGTGTGCGCAACATGACGCGTGTGTTAGCGGGCGATTCAATGGTGAAATACGTGGATCAGTATTTTCCATCGCGCCGTGGCTTGTCTGTTAGCGTTGCCGCACACAGAGGAATAAGGATTGAGCACTTGCTCTCAATAATTGCTGACAAGCTGGCCAGTTTTGTTGTTGTCATTGTACATATTGGCATGAACAACACTGTTGACAGTGTCAACATGTGCATGGACAAATATCGCCAGCTTGCTCAGGGAATCATCGAAAGCAATCCCACGTTGCATGTAGCTTTTTCTGTAATTCTTCCTCGGGGGCAGAATCGGTACCGCCAAGGGGAAGAACAGTTGTGTGATGTTTGTCATTTGAATGACCACTACAGGAATGTGAATGCCGCACTCGCACAGCTTTGCCTGGAGAGGGGCTTCACTATCCTGGATAGTCTTGTAGACAGCTGGCCTGGATTCCTGAGCAGGGATGGTGTCCACCCCAGCCGGCTTGGCAACAAGGTGCTGGCAGGCTTCCTGCACCGGGAGGCCTGTGCCTTGTCCACCCATCTAGAGAGGAGATGCATCCAACAGTCCTACAAGGAGTCCAAGGCATCTGCAGTAGGTGGGCTCGGCAGGAGCACTTTGCCATCAACTTGGAAGTCGATTTTTCTGCACTTGGTATGCATGCAGTTCAATATTCTCCAGCAGTAGGTGGACCTTCCGCTGCACCAGCTCCTGTCTGGAAAACCAGCAGTGCTCTCATGCAGAGACACGACACTGACCAACTGGCCAGTACCATTCATGGTATTGGTTTTACGCTCGTTGGTGGTGTCCGCGTTCGCTGCAAGGTAAGCACGGCTTGGTGGACCTGGGACAGCCTGCCTTCCCCCATTTTCCATGGCACAAGTATACCATGCAAGAGAAACACTGGGGAGAGGCCTATTCAGCCAATGATCCCTAGTCGAGGTGCAAGCACCACTTGTGACAGGAAAATAAGGAGAGCCTCACAGGAGCATGAGAGCGCTCTTGTGCGCTCTTCTGTGGGGGAAGAGGAGGCCAGTGCTGGAAAAGCAGCTGTGCCACAGGCTGTCGGCCAGTGTGGCGACAGTGAGTGGAAACTGGTGCAGTCAAAGAAGAGCCGGCGGAAGGCTGCGGCAATGCACAAGCAAGAACAGAGCTCTAAACTGTGTGCAGACAGTGAAGGCAAAGTTCTTGCTGTGACAGCTGCCAAGTCCATCAGGTCCACTTCACCTATGGCAGCCGTTGTGAGCCAGAAACAGATTCAGTCTGCTTCTTCCGCTGTCTGTGGTAGAAAGCCTGAAGGACGAGCCAGTGTCTCGCACAACGTCATTCGTGATAGTTTTAAAAAGGTGCAGCGTGTTCCTAGCAAGCAGTTGAAAGACTGCTCAGTTAGTTCCGCGACTCACTGTGAATCTGTCGCGAATGACGCTGTGAACGAGGTTTCTGTCTGCAAAAGCCATCTACCAGCACTGACTCGGGATTGCATGCGAATTGAGCGCGATCCTGGCACAAAGGCTGGTGACCCTATGGAAGCTGGGTGCACTGCAGCTGTGCAGTACAAGTATCGTGAGGCTGCTTTGACATCCAGAAGCAAGCCTGCCAGCCCTGGTGCCCAGGCTATTTGTGTAAAAACTGGTGCCAACCCAACTGTCCTCAATAACCCAGTAAATACACTATATGGTGGGGGTAGCAAAGTTTATTTAAATGCAACATTTGATAACTTTCCTTCTTTTAAGAAAAGCTTTGATGAGTGGTGCAGGGAGGGCAGGCATGTAGTCATGATAAATAAGAGTAATAAAAGTCCATTCACATCAGAAGATAAGGACTTCGAGTATATTAGGATTAAATATAGCTGCATTCACGGTCGCACAATAAAGCCCAGGGGTATAGGAAAGCGACCAAAGCAAGCTTACAATGGTACTGGCTGTGAAATGACAGTATCGGTAAGCCTATGTAAATCGCCTACTCTGCACTACAAGATAACTAAACTACAAGTTAAGCATAACCATCCCACAGAATATTATGATTTGTATCCTCAGAAGAGGCTCCTGAGTTATGGAGAAAAAGAAGAATTCTTTGACTTAGCTAAATGTAGTATTGGCGCAAAGGATTTTAAAAACTTGGTCGAGCAAAAAACTGGTAAGAAGTTAACTACAAAAGACATTAATAATTACAAGCAACGATTTTTTATTCCTATACGCAATGAGCAGGCTCGTGGTGAAATGGTTTTAGAGAAGGTAGACACCATGCTAAAAAATAATCCAAACTGGGTTATTCACAATGAAATGAATCAAAATAATAACCTGCAATTCATACTTCTTCAAACAACGCACATGCGTGAGATTTTGGAAAAGTATCCAGAAATTCTATTTATTGATGGAACGTATAAAGTGAATAATGAGGGTTATATTCTTTACTCTATATTAGTTCAAGATGGTCGTGTTCGTGGGAGACCTGTGTGTTATGCCTTCTTACGAAATGAAACGACTGAAATTGTTGAGCCCATGTTCACAAAGTTTGTAGATTTCAACCCATTTGTTGTGTCTGCTTGCAAAGTAGTGATGATTGATAAAGATCTCAATGAACAGCGCATTTTAACCAGTATTCTTCCTAATTCTAGCATACTTTTGTGTGCGTGGCATGTGTTGCATTGTTTCCAGCAAAAGGTTAATGAAAAAGCTAGACAGCAACGTGATCAGTTGCTTCCTCTCTTAAAAAGCTTAGCTTATTCCCCCACTGAGCACGACTACTTGGATAAGCTTGCTAACCTCCAAGCTATGACTTGCACAGATTTCATTTCTTACTATATGCATAACTGGCACTTGTGTAAGGAAATGAGGGTACATGCATATCGGCAAGCCCTTCCTACATTTGGTAATAGTACTAATAATCGCATTGAGTGCCGCAATCAAAAGATTAAAAATTATCTCTCTTCAAGCATGCATTTGGTTCAAGCAATAGAAGCATTGGTAGGTTACATTGATAATGATTCTTTATCTCTACAGTTCTGTAAGCTTAAAGAAATGAAGCTGAACCTAAACACAAATGATTTCAATGACCCATTTCAGCTAGAATTGTCCCGTAATTGCACTTCTGAGGCTACAAGTAAAGTACTAAAGCAGTATGAGAACTTTAAAAATGTAAGTTATCAAGTCACTTCCACTCCTAATTCTTATGTTGTAGTTTCACCAAGATCACAGTACAGTGTTTCATTGTGCTTGACTTCTTGCACATGTGCTTTTTATAACCAGTACACTCTGCCTTGTGCACATATTTTAGCAGTGCGTGACTTTACTAAGCAAGATCTTTTCGACAAGGCTTGCATACCAGAAAGGTGGTGCAAGGATCATTTCCTGAGTGACAGCTGCACAACCACTAGTGCCACACCAGTGGTAACAAGCAGCATTCAGTCACCACCCTGTGTGAAGCTTGACACTGCACAAGAGAAGTATACTTATGCTTATAGGAGTCTTTGCGAAATGTCAAAAACCGTGGCTAACGTATTATCTAATTGTGGTGAGAAGGAGTTAATGGAAAAACTTTCGTCCTGCGAGGCTTTCTTCAGAAATTTAACCACATTTTCTCGTAACCAAACTTCAGCAGCCATAAAGGCTGCACCAGCTCAGTTAGCACAAACTACTGCCACAAGTTATCTTGGGCATTCTAACAGTACAAAACTTGTGGTACCTTTGGTTAAAGCAAGAAGGGGGCGGCCAAAAAAAGTGAGAGCTGTCAAGCGTAAATTTTTCCCAAATCAAGTAAAAAACGTAGGCCTTGGAACTGTTAAATTAGACATGCTAAATGTCTACAAACGGCATTCTCTTTCAGATGCAGATTTAAATGTTCTGGTACCGGGCACCTTCATATGAGATAGCGTAATCAATGTCGCACAGTATTTAATTCAGAAAAAATATCCTACTTGTGTCGGCTTTCAAGATGTCTTACTGGGCTGATGTTTACAATTCACTCAAATCAAAGGCCCTTTCGTTCAAATCTTGCATGTTCAGAACCCCAATCATTGGCTTACAGTAACAAATGTTGGTGCGGACAAAAACAAAGTCTTCATATATGGTTCAAATGATCAAGATACCCCTCCTGACGCTGTTAGGCAAATCTGTGATATTCTAAAATTACAATCGCCAACATTAACCATTCAAACAATGAAGGCACAAAACCAGTGCAACACACTTGACTGTGGCTTGTTTGCAATTGCCAACATGTATTATATAGCGTCAGGCAGAAAACCAGAAACTTTGAACCTTAACCAAGTTATGCTACGCAAACATTTGCTGCAATGCATACAGAATGGTATGATCGAAGACTTTCCCCTAATAAACTCCATGGCTGCTCGCGTACAGCCAAGAGATAGTATTTACAAGTTACATTGTGTCTGCCGGCAACCACAATATAGTGGGGTAGTATTGGACATTACTTGTGCAAGTTGTTCAAGAGGATTTCACGGAGCTTGTCTCGGCTCATTAGCAGCTAACTTGGACAAAAAAGTATTCGTGTGTTCTCAGTCATGTTTGCTGGTTGCCAAGGAAAAGATACATTCTTCTAATTAATAATAGCATTCCATTTTGGTGTAGACATATGGCAAAATTTCTAAACATTCTTCATGTCTCCTCCTCTAATTTTTGCTTTTCTTTAAAGGGCCACTCACCGGGTTTGGAGATTTCGAGCTGACAGGTGCAATGCGTACATCGGGAGTTTATGGTCACGTCTGCCAAACATTGCAACTCTATGCGACGCGCAAATGGGTCAAATTTCAAAACGAACGCTTCTCCCCCTTTTTTTTTTGGGTCGCACCCGCAGAAAAAGGAGGTTATGATGTGCACGTATGAATCGTCCTACATACACAGCAGTGCAGTGACGTTGGTCCTCTATGTATACGACTGTGCTCTGACGCTGCCAACAGTGGCACGTGACATGGCGGAAATTATTTAACGTGACATGCGTAGTTAATGTAATTTGTTGCTTGAAGAGATTAATAAAACTTGGGATACATATTGAGACGCAATAGGAGAATGTGTTTGTCTTTTTCATTTTTTCCCCGTGAATTGCAACGAGATGCCGAGCTAATGTGCTAGCGTTTCGCATGCGTTTGTGTCTCCGCGGTTACTGCATCAAGCAGACTCCTGTCCTGGAAAAGAAATTAATGGTCCTGCGCATTCGAGCACTCATTATGCTCATCTTTTCAACCGCATCAAAGCCAGCGTTTCCAAACAATGTCGCAAAAACAGGCAGTAGACACAATACAATGCTGATCAACAAAACAACACCGCTCGCGCGCTCAAGGGTTGGGCTTGTTTGAGCACGTCATGTGCACGTGACCTCTTGGTTGGATGCTGGAGAGGGTAGGAAAGAGATTTGGCTTGTGAAGACTACACGGGGGAGTGGCAAGGGTTTTGAGCTAGCCTCCTTTCATCCTTGTTTTCTGCTGTTAAAAAAAGAAGAAACTGTTTTCTCAGCTCGTAATGAACCGATTGAAAAACTTTTTGTAATATAATGCTCTCCATTATATACACAACAACTTCCACAGTCTAACTAAAATTTGTTATGGGACCTGGTGAGCAACCCTTTAAGGACTGACTTCAGGGATCGAAAGAATGAAGTTAGGCATGTTGGTAATGCATAACTGATCACATAGCACAAAAATTTGACCCAGGACAAGAGAATGAACAAACACGAGTGCTCACTTCCAAGAAAATTTATCTTGAAGAGCAAACACATATATACTCCTGGAATGTGAAAATCAGGCAAATCATTCAAGACGCCCACAACTGCCATGCGCAAATATCTTACATTTTCAAAAAAGACAATTTGTTTTGACAAAGCCCGAGACAGAGTGCTGATGCAGTTCAGCTCTAGTCTACAAATCCTCTTTGCCTCAATAATTTCTCTTGTCATTTTATTTATTGTTTTTTCTTCCAGCAATAATGATGTCGTGCAAAATCATTTTGCAGCCACACGTGCTGCAATGAACACGCTTGTAACCTCAAGAATGGTCGCAATCGTTTCTTGGCCTTGCACTGCAGCAGGTGTGGCTCCAAACCACTTTTGTGTGACACCATTATCATTGGGGAAAAAAAACTACAAGAGAAATTGTCGTGGCAAAAAAGATTTGTAGACTAGAGCTGAACTGCATCAGTACTTTCTCTTACTCTCTCTCTAAGAATTTGTCAAAACGAATTGTCTTTCCTGATGATGTAAGGTTTTCGTGCATGGCAGTTGTGGGCTTTTTGAATGATTTGTCTGTTTTTTGCATTTCAAGAGTATATATGTTTGCTCTTCAAGATAAATCTTGTTAGAGGTGAGCACTCGTTTTTGTTCCTTCTCTTGTTCTGGGTCAAATTTTCTTGTTATGTGATGAGTTAACTTTCTGCATGCACCACCTTATTTTTCTCCCTTGTTGTAAGCTAGCGGTGTAGCATTAACTAGGAGTACATAAAAACATTGCCAAATGTATGTTACCCCGACGAACCAAATTCCTTTGTTGAGGCAATCCTTTCTGTGGCATTCCTTCTTTATTGACTTCTCATCACGTCAAACCTCAAACCTGTCTCTTCCATAAAAGTTCTAGAACTAGTTCTTGCTTTGTTTTGTTTTTTTTTTTGCCAAAAATAGAAAAACTTCCCTTCGTTGAGTAAACTTTCCTGAACTAAAATATATTCATATCTAATGCACGGAATGAAAAATAAAAAAACAGAAGAAAATTCATAGGCTGATCGCTAAATGTCAACTGAATAAGTATTTCGGAAATAATACCATAAATGAAAAAAAAAGTATCACAGATTGTACATGATTTGTTTGTTTTTTTTCAGCAACAGTAGCTTGCCCTTTAGGAGAAAGATATGAATATCAAATTTTCAAAAATAGTCATTTTTGAAAACCTGTCAATATATCAAAATGGTTTAGTTGATTCATGATTATGCAAGCAGTTCTTGCATGCCTGTGGCACTGGGATTGTTAATGTAGGCAGGCTGAGTTTGTAATGTACTAAAGCCTCAGAATTTAGGTGTTATATTACATTCAAATATTTTATGAATTCAATTATAAAATGTGCTCACAGTGAGTTTGCTACAAGTTAAGCAACCAAAGTTGGTGTATATATTGCCCACATTAACGTCACACTGCCACAAGTCTCTAGGCGGAGCCTGATCGCTACAGAGCGCATTCTCGGGTGGCGGATAGAGAAAATTCTTGCAATGAAGTGATGCTAAGCAGCTTCTATTAATAAACAAGACTGGCACTTGTGCCCGCGCACCAACAGGCAGAAAATACATATGACAACAGGAGTCTTTTCACTGCTGTGGTGGGCAAGTTGAAAGTTTCAGGTGCCATTTTTAAACTCTTTGATTTATCTGTTGTTGTTTTTTTTTGGCCCTTTTCTTCATCTTGTACAGGTCCAGTACATTGTGGACTCACCCTGTTGTCAAGTCGTCAGGAAGTTGAATGATGCTGTCTTCTTCAAGCTAAATTATGCAACTACTAAGAAGGGGATCAGAATTCTATTTTGTAGCAGTTATTTTACAAATAAATGTTAGTAAAATTTTTCTTGGTTGTAGTAGTGTCATTGTGTATTTACGAACCATAACATTACATAACACAGAAATTCAAGTGCACAGCAAAAAAAGTGCTGCTATGAGCACCTGTTATCAATATCAGCTGGTCATTCTTAATTTTGGTCTTTTATTTAACGCACATCAAGTAGCCACGATTGCTTGGTATACAGGCTGATAGAGAATTTAGCTCCCTTTCTTCCACGCAAAAGGTTACTGGCAGTGAAACAGCATTGTCAGCATTTTGATAGATACTTTGAAAATGAACGTGAAAGCGACGGAGGCACAAGACAAAGGTGAAGTAATGAGTCTTTCTCATCTCGTGTCTCCGTCGTGTTCGTGGCCGTTTTCCAAGAATGCATAGTTTCCAACTCGACCTTACTGATATATTGAGAAAACTTTATGAAAACATGTATCCCCGAAGTTAAGTATAAAACTTTCACATAGAATGCATCACTTCTAGCGTCAACAGTTGAGCTATTACAAAACTTTGATAAGTCGCAATACACATAAAAGCAAGTACGGTCAAGCTTCACTGCCTTGTGAAAGCACTGCGGTAAAGCCAGCGTGAGCAGAAGAGCATTACATGATACGAAATGAACGCATTCACAGGCCACTTGTGCATCAAACAAATATAAGCATTAGCGACTGCTCAGGCCAAATATGCATCTTGGCACGTCCGTTTCAGGCAAACAAAAGGACAAATACTAAAATATGATCAAGCTTCACTGCATCAAAAAGCATTGCGGTAAAGCCAGCGTGAACAAAAGAGCATTACATGATACGAAATGAACGCATGCACAGGCCACTTGCGCATCAAACAAATATAAGCATTTGCGACTGCTCAGGCCAAATATGTATCTTGGCACGTCCGTTTCAGGGAGACAAAAAGACAATTACCAAAAGATGATTATGCTTCACTGCATTGCAAAAGCATTGCGGTAAAGCCTATAAGTAAATGATGTGCAGCAATCAAAGGATATATGCCTTATTCATCGTACCCACCTGTTGGTGTATTAAAGCTGCTCACATTTGGCAGGCTATTATGTGAGTGAGAGGCAATACCTGATGTGATAACAGCTGTTACATTTCTTTAATTGCTCACTTTGGGAACTGTAGCTGGTTGATCGCAAGTTTAATTTGCATGAGTCCTTGAGTAACTTAGCCACGTGCCATCTTTGCACATGATGTCTTAGCTGTCACAGAGTTATATAGATAGATTGACGTGGCGTGGCTTTGATTACGCGCGCAGTGCTGTTTAGGTTAACTGCTGCAGATGGGGAATAAATATTTAAAATCTCGTGGTACGCGATGCATTTGGTCAGGCATGCAGGTCTTATTTCTAAAGTACGGCTCCTGCTTACAAGCTGCGCAGTCTGCGATCTGCGCCGATAGACAAACTGATGGTGGAAGAAAAATTACTCTCTCCCACTAAAGGGAACCATGCATACGTGTGAAGCAGCGGGCGCTAACGCTTACATAGGCGGTGCCGTTGACGCTGGCTCTCATTGCGGCGTTGCGCAGGAGATCAACCTGGGGACGAGGCGCTAAGCATGCAGTGATGGACCGGTGTTTCTTACTGTAACATGCCAATCACTGCTAATGGGTGAGAGACACAAGACTCTTATTAAATGCAGAGACTTTCAGTACACTTTTAACCAAGTATAACGCGCACTCTGCTCATTTTCATTGTTCAACAACGCACAAGAGAAATCTAACACCAGCACTACCTTGGAGGTCAATATCCAGCGCCTAATGCGGGGTGGCCAGTGAACGGTTGTGCAGTGCTAGCAGTCATTTTTTTTTATCAAGGAACTCGCTATCAGATGCTGCTTGCGTCGGTGGTGCGAGTCGAGAGAGGGGGGAGTGTAGGAGAGAAGAGAGACGGGGAGGGGACGCGCATGCGCAGCAAGAGTGGTCACGCCGCACACAGCATTGAACTCGACCATAACATGCTTGGCATCTAAAATGGCCCCAATGTACGAGAGAAAATTGCTGGATCTGCAGTCGAAGATTTTCCGCCAAAGAAATGTAGACTGCAGACTCTAGATCACATTACCGGCTGCAATTCGGTTCAGCACATTAAAAATATCAGTTAATTTACATGGAGCATACTACGAACTATAGCTACATGTACTTTATCAATGTGCCCGCAAAATCACCTGTAAATTACACGGTGGACACTAATCCAGAGTTCTCGCCCGTTTCTGAAGCATTGTTACCGCAGAAC